TTGCTTTGTCTCCCTTCGTCTCCCCTTGTCTCCCATGGCGCGTCTGGATACTGGGCTGAGATCACTTTGCTTTGTTTCCCCCTTGTCTCCCATTGCGTGTCTGGATGCTGGGCTGGGATCACTTTGCTTGTCTCTCCTTGTCTCCCACGGCATGTCTGGATGCTGGTCAGAGATGATTTTGGTTTGTCTCCCTTCGTATCCCTTCTATCTTTCCTTGTCTCCCCTTGCCTCCCATGACATGTCTGGATGCTGGGCTGACATGATTTTGCTTTCTCTCCCTTTGTCTTCCTTCATCTCCTTTTGTCTCCCCTTGTCCTGGATGTTTTGATGTTGACTTGAGAATTTTGACTGTAGATACGTCATATTGTTTTTTGCTTTGCGGAGAATCAAATCTGCAATGGGCCCCAGACTGCCGCTGCTGTTTGGGGTCGATACTGGTGCAATTTTGTTTCATAGGCATAGTGCCTGTCTAGATGTATCAAATGTCTTCTACACCCGTGTAGCGTTCCAGCTGTAACGAATCTTTTGTTACTGTGTTGAAGGGAGTGTCCAACGTCAGCAGAGCTGCAGGTAGCTGCTACGTTTGCTCTGGAGGAGCCAGCGGCGCTTCATTTAAACACAAGGCAAAGGGCAAAGAGGAATAAACGTTTGGGCGATTTAAGTGAATTCTTGGAACGCATCCTACTAGTACAACATTCCTGCTTCCGTTTAAACATCAACAGATATTCACCATCCCTTATTCGCTTGCGTTGATGCAATCGATTGGTGTTCATTTTGGTTGCAATGGTTCGATGCTGCATCCTTTCACATGAGCCACAGAGCGTGGCGTGGATGATCCTCGCAGAAAGGGGTGTCCAAACCCCAAATAATATAAACACCAGGTTGTAGGGCTCTGAAAAGGACACCGGAAAAGAGATTATTTGAATTTCTAGGCTGGGACGGGATGCCCGTCCCCACCTGAAAGCGGCTTCGCCCCGCCAAAACGTCGAATATCATGCATTCGAGTCGCTGGCCCGGCAAGCCAGTGCTGAGCAGGAGCTGGCGAGGGTGGCGATGCTTGGAAGGAAAAGGTCGGGGCATTCTTCCGAGAAGTTGAAAGCTCAACAACACCTGAGTAATGTATATATAGAAGCGTGATGACAAAAAAAGGACAGTGATTGTGTAGCACCTCTTCACCTGCGAGGTTTTATTCATCAAGATTCTACATCAGGAGGTGATCAATGTAAGTGGTGCCCAGCAACGAAAACTGGCTTAGGGACCTCTCCCTCTTCTTTTACAAACAGGGTAGACTTGCACTTTCAGATGAATGAGTGTACCCCACAAAGAACTGAGTAAACTCTTTTTTGGAGACACCCTAGTTCAACTGAGTGATTCGTTCTGTTGAAGGAGGACAGTGTGCTACATTGCACAAGGAGACATACTTACTAGGGCTTCTGGGCCCCACAAATACCAGGCTTGAAGCCCAGCTCAGTTGGATCAGTCGAAATCCTGTTCCGTTCGCATGGAGGTCCATGCAACCAGTCGTTCCGGGCCAGCTAAACTACACTCCCGAAGACTAACATAGACCCTGACAATGGTCCCATGGAAGACTATTTTCCTCTACCAACCAGGGGTTTTGAGGTTCCATGTTAGTCTTCCAGGGTGTAGCCTGTGACCTGTATCAAGTTTGGAAAGGAACCACTGCTTGCTCCCTTGCTCTCTTCCTGTGTCCTCCCAAAAGACTGAAGCACTGCATCCTTGGCGCGGCATCCGCTCGGCTCTGCGCGCCATCTGTTCTCTGCGCTTTTCAAGCGTGGCAAGGAGTGGAAAGAGAGCAAGGTCTTGGCGAGGAAAGGGACTTGGTCTTCCAAAGTCGGCAGCATCGGGCGACCTGGCGAAGATTCACCAGGTGGGTGGGGAAGGGTGGGGGAGATCCTGCATCCGACTGCATCCGATGTGGGTGGTGGAGACCAACAAGGTCGGTTGCCTTTTTGTTGCACATCGGGTGAAGTGGTGAACCTGAGTAGCCATTTCAACAAGAAAGGTGTGAGACATCACTACATCACCCAAACAGGCATAGCCCTTAGCAAGGCCCTTTGACACAGAAAATGAAGAGCAAGACTACCCCAGTGGGGTGGTAAAGGACCAAGGGGACCCTTTGCGTGGCCAAATAAGGGGACCGGGACCGGACGGTGGCCAAAGAGGAGACAAAGTTTGCAGGTCCAGAAGTTCCATCGTTCTGTTGGTAGCGCTCTTTTGTTGGTAAACAGGGCGGTCGACCTTCAAGTTGGACCATCCCTCACTAAAAAGGGACCGAAGGGTCCGTGCCTAGGGGTCCATGGCATGTACTGTGTGAAAGTTAGAGCATGATTCGTTCATCATCGACCGGCAGAGCTTCAAACTTCACACTTGACTTCCTCGATAGTCAGGTACTAGGTGGTTTGTACGGATTGTAACATGCACGGATCTCCCACTGGCCATTCCCCGTTTTTGTCCAAACAAAACCAGCAAACCTGACACTCTCAGCTTTCGAGTGTTAAATGCTGCCATAGGAGACTTCAAGCAACATTCACCAGGCGTATGCTTTGCGCGATTCATCTCTTTCCGTTTTGCCTGGGTGCGTTCCGTGTCTTGCGCCACCGAGGGCCGATGGAGTGATTTGTATCGCTTGGGGCCGTGGAGAGGGCCCAGGCTATGAGAGCTTAAGCTTGGCAGACTATGGCTGGAGGCCATAAGGCCGCGGCCGTGGCCGGGCCATCTCCCCACATTGATCAGCTGGAGAAATCGATCTCCGACGCACCCAGAATCAGTCCCAGCTGATACACGCAAACGAGTCCCAGTCGGCTGCGTTCTGGGATACGCTCGACTTTTGTGGCGTGTGTTGGAGCTGCAAGGTACTGCAGGTCAAGCTGTGGATTCATTGAAAGGCTATGAGACAAACAAATAGAGTGTAGGGGCCTAGCACTAACTAACCCTGCGCAGAAGAGTGTTGCTGATGCGGGCATAGTAGCAAATTCTTTGTCATCCTATGTGGCAACCGGCCAATGAACTTAACAGACAGTCCTTCTATCAATGTCTGTCACATGTATATAGATAGGGTCTGTCCCATTACCTGTAACGGTCAGTAAACAATTATCATCATTTTTGAACAAGGCCTTTACTAGCCATCATCATCCACTGTTACAGGTAATAGGATAGACCCAATATATAGATAGAATAGCCAGCGTTCCAAACCGTTGACATGTTTTCCGACGTTGGATTCTATCTATACCTGACAACAACCATTTACCTGCAGCCTACAGCAGCATTCAGACCGCGTGATAGCGAGGATAGTGAGGAGCCCTAGACTCCCAAACAGATCGACCATTTGCCCATGCCGACCCTTTCGTCAAGGACGATTTGAAGATGGACATCAGACTGTCGAGTCTACATGTTTTATCGACATCGACGTGGGGAGGCTCCGACGTCCCTTCCGGAGCTCGGCTCTAGTTGGTTGAACAAGGTTGAAGATTCTGGAACGATTTCTGCCAAGAAAATGGAATTGACACCGGATCTTGGGTCACTTGTTCCGGTGGGGGGCCCCCACTCTTCCGAAAGAGCTTGGGTGTTTCCGGGGGTTTCGTGTTTTCTGACTCATCCGGATCTTCGAGGAACACGCTGCCGCTGCTTCCTCATGGGGTCTGAAGGTCAGCGCAGGGTCCCCTACCGTGACCCTGTCGTGATTGGGGATCTCGACAAGCTGATGGGGAGAGGGATGGAACAGACGAGAGGGTTTTCGGAACTTCAACGGTTTTGCAGGAACCACATGGAAAACACGTTCCTCGTACGTAGGTGGATGTTGTGGGTACTGGGATGTTCGGGGTTGGTGTTTTCAACAACACACCCCCAGAGGTTGTCGTGTGTGTCTGCGGTGAGTCAGCATGTCCACGGATCCATGGCCAAAAAGAATCCCATGTCATGTGCAGAGCCAGAGCTGCGGAAAGAAAGGTCTTCGGAAAAACACGGCCTGGAGGGCTTGCTTCCCTGAGATTTAATAGAAGGCGTTGAGCTCAGACAGATTGGCCAAGAGTTTTCCATGGCAAGGCCAAGGCTTACAGATCTTCGCATAAGACATAAGACACAAGCGATGAAAACCAGAATGTTGAGCATCAGTCTTGCTTCTTGTGGTCAGTTTTGCATTGCAGTTCATGATTCAACAATCTGCAAAGCATATGGCAGGTTCTTGAAATCAGAAATTGAAATCCCCGAACATCTTTCTTTTGCAAGGGCCAAGTCTGCCAAGATCTGTCTCATGCCTGGCTGATTAGCTTTTTGGCATCCTGATGGGCAGTCCAGCCCGTGTGCCCATCCAGTAAGTGGAGGCAGTGGTCAAAGTTCAAAGGGAGAACTTAATCATAGAGAACTCCAAGTCTTGATGAAACACCGACCCATTAGCCGCCCCTGCAAACAATCATACATCCTTTCCAAACTTTTCATCCCGATTCATCCGAGGCAACAACTGTGAAAGCCTTCTTTTTTTTGGGCTTTCACATGGTTGACCTCTGTCGACCTGAGATCAACTCATCTCGAAGAGAAACATGTTCGAACCTTCAAAGATGCCACAAATCAGGTCGTTTCAGCCTGGTCAGTTCAACACGAACCCCTTGCGCTTCAAGCCTGGGGCGACCCCATCAGGTGCCATTTCCATCGCTTCTGTGATTCCTACGTCCTGTGGACCCTCAAGGCCTCCCAGGTGCCAACATCGCAGAAACAAGGCCCTCCCATCGTGGTGAGGGAGGCAACAGGGAAGGAGGGAGGCTGGCCTCGGCTGCACCGCATCTTTGTGAGTTCTGGATCCTTTGGGAGGAATGGAAGGGTCTGACTTCGGACCCAGATCCTGGGGTGGGCTTTTTTGGGGGCTGCCTGTTGATGTACCAAGGTCCTTTCCCCCGCGGCCTTCTCTCCGTCAGGGCCTTACTTGGCCTTACTTGAGCCTCCAGGCATCGCAACGCCGCTGTTCCGCTCGAAACGCCGTGGGCCAGGACTTGGAGGCGTTGGAACGTCCCCTGTGCATCCCGGAGAACGTGGACGGCCGACAGAAGCAGCCGTTCGCCCGAGATCCAGTTTGTTTTTTTTTGCCCTCTTCTAACCCGGTGGTGACCATGGAGCCCAGGCGTTGGAAGATCGGGTTTTGGACGCCTCGTTGGGGGCTTCGGCATCACCGAAAACCATTGGATCGGGTCGATGCCGGCGGAGGGGTCCTGGAGGGTCGATGCTGGCTGGTCCTGGACGTCGGTGGTGGTGACCGACCGGCCGACTGGACATGACTGGCCACCAAGAAACTGAAAAGCACTACCAGGAGATTACCAGGAGCAGCACTTTCTTCATGCATGGTGTATCTCAGAATCCCCAAGTGAAGGGGAGACATATGTCGATGAACATGATATATCACGATACTGTATGATTTTCTTGGGGAATTCTGTAAGAATTTAGTTTCTGGATGTTTTTGGAACGAGAGTGGCTTGCACATTTTCGTTTCAATGTCGAACTTGAGCTCTTCTGCGAGGGTCTGTTCATACTGTAGCCCGAAACCGACTCCCGACGCCAGACCCGAGCCCGGAGATCAACCGAAGACCAACTGGATATCAACCATTTCAATGGCTTCATGTTCAATTGAAGAATCTTGACAGACAATTCCTAGATCTCTGGCCATCAGATAACTCGACCCTTGGGGCGTGTCCGTGTCTAGTCAAGGACGACCACGTGGGCTGTAGTCAGTCCGTGTCGCGAATCGGCGTGCCACGACCCAATCAGGTTCGTCAGGTTCGCGACCAATCGAGCAGTTGACCCAGCCTGAGCCAGGGTGAGTTGGCTGTCTCCCCAAATACAGACCCGTATTATGCCATGCCGGATTCACTCCCTGAAATCATCAAACGGTGGTGGCTTCGCGGCGTGGGCGTGGCCTCGATGTCGGATGTCCTTTTTCAATCCGAGTACCAAACAGGTGGCGCCATCCATACCTGGATCTCCCAACTGCGACAAATTTATGCCTTTTCAACCATAGAAAAAGACACACCATAATTTTGTCATAGTTGGAAGCTCCAGGTATAACCACGGTGATTTCAGGGAGTGGAGCTCGACCTCGCCCAACGTGGAAGGTTCAGAAAGTGCAGACCACCATTGGACACCACCCTCGATCCTGAACACCAAGGCTCATCTACGACGCCACCTGGGCTGACCCGCAGAAGGAGACTCACGGCATGGATGAAGGGGGCGGCTGATAGGGGCGGCTGATAGGGGCGGCTGATAGGGAACGCGCATTTGGTGGACGCACAGGGTGCCATTCTCAGGAAACAAACCCCGGCGACTGCCAGCAATGCCGAAACAAAACCCGCTCTGAGTTCATGGACCACACATATATATGCTCTTCTTTTTTTTCATTGCGACCGCACAGGACCCAGTTGACCCGGTTGACCCAGTTGACTCCAACAAGCTGCTACTACTACTGCTGCTGCTGCTGCTGCTGCTACCACTGGCACTACCACACTTGCCATCACACAAAGTCAATCGGGTCAACTGGGCTCAACCGGGTCAACTGGCAACCGGGTCAACTGGGTCCACTACCACTAAGAGCACCACTACTAGGTATAACGGGAAGCAATCTGTGGGGCAAATGACCTTCCCCAAAATGACCCTTAAAAATGTCTGTATCTCCCAAGCGCACGCAGAAGATATGGACTTCTTGAACTTTCCCTTGCCCGCTTGCCAATTGCCCCAACTGCACCGCACCACTTGCCCAAATGTCTGTATCTCCTGCCGTCCTAGAAGATACGGACTTCACTCGCCCTCTCTCTCTTGCCCCACTCGCCCTACATGCCCCCGGAACCCTGCACATCCCAACAGTCACCTGGATCAATTGGGTTCAACCGGGGCCAACCAGGTCAACCGGGCCAGCTGGGTCAGGGCCTCCTGTGCATCTCCATCTCAGCAACCTCGTTTGGCAGTTCTTCTTCGCTCGGGGAGAACCCAGCGTGTTGAGCTGGTGGGTTGGTGTTGCCCTAGGAACGGCTTGGGCCCCAACGACCGTGGAGGTGAAGCGATCTCCTTCGGCCCAGCACCTCGGGCTGTGGGACGTGGGTCCCGGGTCCCTCGAAAGGCGAAAGGCTGAAAGCGGCGAGTGAGGAAGGGACTGGCCGGAAGAGTTCTCCCGTTGCGCACCGTGGTTTGGCACGGATTTTCACCAAGTCTTGGGGAGTCTAGGGGGGGACGGTGGGTGGTTTTGGGTTTGAACAGATGCAGTGTTTGCCAAACAAATTGATAGAAGATGATAGAAGATATATAGTTGGGTGAAGATACCATCAAGAGACTACTTGGGATGTTACCTGGAATGCTTGTGGAATCTCCTTCAAGTAAAGTACGGGGATGAGATACCACAGGAAATGGTTTCAACTCCCAATTGGCGCCCCACATAGGTCACATGAATGCCTCATCCCTCATCTCTGGGTTCCAAACGCAACAATATGTACATTCCCTGGAACTAACATGGAAGTGGACAATGGCCTCTTGGAAGGCCCTTATATAAATCCTCTTAGGCCACAGGGTGTGAACTCCACTTCCATGTTAGTTCCAGGGAGAGTAGATCAATGATTTCATGTCCCTGGTTCTTCAAAGTGACCCTTTGAACACCCAGGAGGAAAAGGGACGTCGGGGGGCAGTTGCCATGCGGAAGCCACAGGTCTGTGGCGTGGCAAGGATTCCAAGTGCCGTTTTTTTGTGTGTTTTCGATGTTTTTTTTTACGAGCAGGTTTCATGAACTGTTTTCTTTTTTCGTGGATCGCTCATGTTCGAACGGAAGAATCTGAAGAGATTCCTACTTTGTTAGGGTGAAAACGCCACCAAAACCGCCATGTGTTTTTGGACTCCCCGTGGTTCTTTTTTGACCCAGGGTGGTAACCCACATGGTGTGGTCACTCTTCTGGGGTGACGTTCCTTTTGGAGGAGATGTACAGAAGTTTTGCCAGAGTTCTGGGGGAAGGTGGAACTTTAGCTTTCATGAACCAACGCCCTGTTGCCCAGGATTCCACTGTTGCCCACCCGAAATCGTGTTCACCCCCCGTGCTTGGGCTGCGCAGTGTTCTGCACGGGAACCACAGGATGTGACGTGTTCCGTCTTGAAGAGCTTTGGCCTCCAACTACTTCTGCGCTCGCATGAGCTGCCAGGCCGTGGCCACTGGAGCCGCAAGAAGATGCGAGTTGAATCTGCCAGTCAGGCGAGTTTCGCATCCATTTCCCCCTCCTTGAACCCAGGGTTTTGCGTGGAGCTTGGCGTGAAAGCGTCGTTCGCTTTCACATGCTGAGGGAGCGAAGAGTTCAAGGGTCGAGGCTTCGAGTGGCCGGTGAGCCTGGTGGGAGTGGGAGGGCGCCTGGTGGGAAGACTGGAAGGTCTTCGGGTCAATGGAGGTTTCAGTGCAAAAGAGTTGGATCAATCACCCGCAACTGTGGGGTCCCGTCAGTGCTTCAATGAAACGAACGGACCGTCACATGGCCACTTTGAAGAACCTAGTAGAGGTACGTCATGGTAAGCACTTCTATGCAGAGCAAATGCGCGAAAACAATCACAGTGCTTGTATCTCACTCGATTATGATGTCTTTTTATGTCTGTTTGTGCCAAAACAAGAGATCCGCTGATTCACAGGAACCATCAGGAACCGTAAACGCTGCAAAGATGACTCAGATGAACATCAGACCGATGAGGAAATGGTCCATCGCATCCACCTTCAATCGAAGGCTTTTTTTGCTTCGGGGTCAGTCTGCCTCCGCATCTGGAGCTCATGTCACCAGTCTTGCAAGCTGGAGCTCTTCCTGAACCACATGGCCTCCACATCCCCCCAAGCTGGCATTGGTCGGGTCGGGTCCGAGTGGACTTCGAACAAGGAATCGAAGCTGGTCGAGTGTCAGGGCTGTTGGACAAGTCAGGGCTTCGGCTGCGAGTTTGGTGCAAGGATGGTCCGGCATAGAGATTTGATACTAAGGTGTAGACTCTTGATACTATTTCAACCTCCCATTTGGATTGAACAACCTCTTCATATGGGGGCTTGGAAATATGTTGACATATCATCAAGAGTCTGCAGAAAGAGCGGAGGCTCAGAAGACATTTTCCCTTCGAGATCTCAGAAGCGAGCAACGCTCGCTCACTCTCGCTCGCTTCTCAGGTGGCATGCATGCGAGGATGAGATGGAGGTTTTACTGAAAGGCACAGTTGTGGAATGTCGCATGGGTCTGTCCGAGGACACTTGTATATATATATATATATATAGCCGTCGGTAAAAGTAAGGTCTTATCACTGTTTTTTGAACAAGGCCTGCAACCAGGCCCCATCATCCACACACGGGCCCTGGGATATACCCGTATACCCGAATTCGGACGGTGGATTGAACATGGTCTCCAAGAAAGATCCCGGAGCATTCTGCCTGATCAACTAACGCTTCTAGACAAGACAATCAGGCAGTTCGCCGGATTCGTCAGGCAAGGGTTGTATGTTTCTCGCTCACAGTAAGCACTTTTTGGACCCCAGCTTGCCCACAGCTGGCTGCAGTCCGGTCCAGCGACCTAGCTGCTCAGTCCAGAGCAGGTTTGGGCATGTAAATTATCAAGAGTCTGCATCATTGTTTGAACTGCATGCTGAGATTGGGGGCCAACCGAAAGCGCAATGCGTATGGTACACGAGAGGGGACAAAAGGGTTGATAAGGGCCCTGCACTTCTCAAAAGAGATGCCGTTTTGTACGTTTTCTTTCTCAGCACACAGGGCTTTGGGGTCTTTTTTCTCAAGATCATGCATCATGAACTACTGCTACCGCTTCTTCTTGTGGGTGCATTTGGATTGGTGAAGCATTAGAGCACTCTCCAAGCTCCCGAAAGCTCTGTCGGGGCCTCCGGTGCAGGTGCCAAAGGCTTATGCCTTTCCCTCTTCACAGCCAGCGACTATTGCGGGTGCTTGGAAGGAAACTCAGGTGCTCGGGTGATCTTCGATGGAGACTTGGACTGAACATCTCAACATTTGACCACATAATGTAGACTCTTGATTCATAATATGACCCTTTATGAAGAGGTTGTTCAATTACATTGGTTACCAGCAATTACTTTCTTCAAACTGACCTTTTTGGAAATCCCTAAGTGACCTTTTACAGGTCTGTTTGTGACCTCAAACCTGGGTATGAAAAGGCCATTTTGAAGAACCCCTTACTTGGGAGATCACATTGCTGTTCTTGAAGGGTGCTATATTTGTCCTTCCCCCCCATATGTTTCGCAGCAAACTGTGCAGAAAACCCTGTTTCGCTTGCCGTGCTTCCACCGCCCATCATCGCCCAAAAACATCGCGCGCTTCCCGCGCTTCCATCGCCCGACCCACCGCAACAACGACGCCTCGTGCTTCCATCGCCCGACCCCACAGACCTCGAAACGGCTTGGCGATGGCTTCCACACTCCCAGGCGATGGCTTCCACATCGTTGAGCACCAGGGCTGGGAGGCGGACGGACGGTCGCGAGTGGCGGGCACGGTCCGCGGCTCCGTCGGTCCTTCGCTTGGCACTCGGGGCTCGGCGCGCCAAGCGCGGGGCTCCGCAGGGCTCCGTCGGTGGGTCACGACCCATCGCCCAGTTGCAACAGACATTTCGGTCACGACATGTTGAGGCCGGACGTTTGTCCTCTGGGTCCTTGAAGCTGGTTGTCCTGGTGGTCTTCCACCCCCAGTACACGAACGGAAACAATATATACAGTATTATACAGTAATATACACTCTGACGAACACATCACATGGAAGTGGAAAGTAACCCCTTGGAAGAATACTTTCCTTTACAAACAGGAGGTTTTCCACTTCTATGTGACGTGTTCGTCGGAGTGTAGTTACTAGGTCATCCAAGATGGAGTTCGGACCGACCCCATGTCTTTCGACTCTTCCTGGCGGTCACCCGGAGCTCAGCTCCACACCCTGGCAGGTCGAGACTCGAACGGAAAACACCGGGTCGGTCGGCCTGGTGCCACTGCCCAATCCCAGACACGACCTGAGGGGAGCTTCCTTCGGCGAGTCGCCCGTTGCCATCGGCCGGTCTTCCATCGTTGCCATCGGGTCTAGCAATAAAGCACCGGTGAGATTTTGGGGAGCCATCCTTTAGCTTGGTGGGGGGTGGGGTATATAGATGACTGATCCGGTACCCCTGCGATCTGCTGGGATCTTCTAGAAACTTCCTGTAGAACATAGGTATCTGGAGGCCGAATATATGGCATCTACAGCGCATCGCACCACTTGTGTGCCAGGCCGAGCATGCCTTTCTACAGAGTCAGACCGAGAAGCCCTTTGACCCGGCAGAAGGCATGCTGCAGCTTGCCATGAATGGGTATGACACCGTTATATACCGTTATCACATTATAATTATAGCGGACAGTTTTCCTTCCGTCTCCTCCTTTCACGAGAGTTTTCACGGACGTCAATATCTGTACACACCAAAGGTTTGGGGAATGTTTGTTGTTCGGGCATGTAGGAATGTTCTCTCCCTCTCAAGCCACGCGAACCTGTCCAAGCTTCTTGGTCGAAACTTCTCGATTCCAAGAACTCAGTCGAAGCGCTTTGACCAAGGTTTGAGGGCCCACTGGAACGTGCCTGGGCCAAAAGGAAGTGAACAAACTGCGACAAGGGGAGTTCACTTTCGTTGACTGTTATATGACCGCCCTTATGAATAGGAGGGGTGTGAGTGGCCACCCAGTTGTTTGAGGCCGTGTTTTTTGCTCCACCATGTTCACCCGACCAGTCCACCATGAATCTGGCGCGTGCGCGCGAGACGACCGGTCCAGCAGCGGAGCGGTGGTGCTCGTGCCCATGGTCGGTCTCCGTCCGGTGCCAAGTTCCCCACACCCATTTGGGGGGGCCCAAAGGTTCGCAGGTGCCAGAAGCACCAGTGGCGACCGCCCACCGCCGAGATTTCGGAGCCTCTTCCCGGCCGGTTTCGGCTGAAGATCGTTTAGACTCGTGGGCATTTTGGAAGACCAACGGATAATGTTGGTATCGGCAAAGATCGTTTTGGGGTCTGCGAACATGGGCGAACATGGGCGAACTGTCCACAAGTCTAGGAACCAAATCATTAGTGCGAGTGCTTCTTCAAGGAAGCTCCCCAGCCACCTTTAGGGCGGCGGGAGCTTCCTTGAAGAAACGTGAGCTATCCTGCATCCTAATACTATAAGCAATAGCTACTTGTAGCTACTAGCTTCTCCCTACTACTAGCTACCTCTCTAGCTACTACTAGCTACCTCTACGGCCTACCCCCCCTTTAAAAACAGTGGAGTTTTTGGTCGTTTGCATTTGTTCTATTGTGTAACGATTGCCACCTCGGCACTTCACTTCGTGGGGAAAAGACCACAACCTGCCGAGGGAGTTGTTTGTGAAACAAAAACCGAGCAGAAGAGAAATCCGGTGAGAAAGATGGCCAGTTTCATTTGTTCAGAACGAATCGCTGGGCTTCTGCAGCACGGGTTGCGCAGACGACGTCTTCAATTCCCCTCTGATTCATGGGGGTTGCGCACTACCTCCCAAGAGTTCCACCCTCAGTTCCGCATGATCCTACATGATCTGCAAACCTCTGACTCGGTCAAGTCCGTTTGCGCCCCATCTCCAGATCCCGGAAACCCATCTGTCGCATCAAAACCGTGGTGCACTCTTCTGCTTCTGCCCAGAAACCACCCCGCTTCTGCCGCCACATCACCGAAACCGCCTCCGCCTTCTGCCTGTATTGGTGCGACGACTCAGGCAGTGTCATCGAGGCGGTGGTGGAGAGGAAGCACGAGCTTCTGGCGGAGTTCATGGCCTCGGATGCACCGAAGGCGCTGCATGCGCTCGGATGCCTCGCTGCTTTGTGCCATGACCCCTCGGTCGAGTTCATGGCCTTGGAGGGCGAGGTTGTTGGAAGGGATCTGTGAGTTGAACCTGCTGCTTGTGTGCTTCTGGGGGTGGCGAGTGGCGAGCCCAAGTCGACCAGTTCGTGGAATTGGTCTTCCCCTACGTACGCCCAGTGACGCAGTCAAACCTGGTCCTGAAAATCTGAAGTGAATGGTGTTTTTGTAGCATCAACTAGATCGTTCACTGATTCACTGACATAAGGTTCCAGTGTCTTTAGAGATGATGATGCCTCCTCCAGTAGTCACGTTCGACGGGGTGCCGAACTTGGAGGAAGGAGTTGGGTGCCCCTGTCACATCCACGGCCCCTGGATGGGACCAGCCAAACGCCCGCAGGCCCTCCATGTGACTCCCTTCAGGATTTTTGAAATGGCCTAGCGTAGATCAATGAAGATGCTCTTCAGATGAAGATCCAACATGATCCAACCAATCTCCTGCAGGACTGGTTGCTTCCCTTGGAGTCCTGGCAAGCCTGTTGCCACCGCGTGTTGCCTCAGATCCCGTGGCAGGACCACGGTTTTCACGTGTTCGCACGCCACGCACCACCCTCAGGGGATTGAAATTCGTGGCCACCCCGGAGGACGCTCTGGTTGTGGAGACGTGTTTCATCGTTGTTCCAGGATTTTCCCAGGAAAGCAGTGGTCATCCTGACTGTATCGAAACGGGGATGACCGTTTTCCGTCTGGTTTTGGAAGCATCCACTCGAAGCAGGAAAAAACCTGAAGAGGATAGCAAGAAGGGAAGGGACACCTGAAGAGCTGACCAAAGTGATCAAAAAGCAAGCTATAGCCGACCTGTGGAGAATTGAATTCCCAGTTGCTTCCAAACGTCCGGAGGATTAGAGTTCAGCCGACTAGCTCCACGCTTCAGTATTGCTAGTACCGTTCGGTTTACGGGATGTCAAGCTTCGACGAAAGACGGTCGGTCCAGCAGTCACAAGACGGGGTGCTATCCATGGAGGTAGTCGGGGTGCCCAGAACATCCACTCACTGGATGGGACTAAACACCACCCCGTCTTGTGACTGGGTGATTTTTCTTCTTGGTGGGGCCTTGAGCCAGAGAATATTTTCTTGTAGATGCTCTGCCATATAGCCTTGAAGCTGTGCTGCAGAGCTCGCCTTGGGATGCATGCCTGGTGACTGATGTGAAGTCCATATAGCGCTCTGAAGGGTGCGGAGGGTGGGCCAAGTTAGATAAGATTCTCGAGTGTCCGATGATAGGACTTGGTGAACAACAAGAGCATCGTACCGCTGAGGAGTGGCCAAGTGAGACTTGGCACAAGGTAGGAGGCGTCACCGAAAGTGATGAACACAAGCATTGGACAAGGCTCGAGCCGAGCTGTCACTCTTGTCTATGCGCTATTGAAGTTCCTACTACTTCACCCAATCCCTCGGCTTTCTGGACCAGGGTATCTGACTTCAAACTACATCCATTCCCCCCTGGCACCACGAGAAAGCGATCGTCGAGTGTCGATCGATGGATAAAGGAAAATGACTATATATACTTATATATTCGCTCCAAAAATATCCATTTACCATTGTTTTTGTTGGCACAAGTTCCCCCAAGTAAGGGGGTTTATACGGACCCCCATTTGTCTAAGACATCTTGGGATGCCAGTGCCATCGAACCTCCGAAACCACTGATTTTATTGCAGGGCAGAGATACCCTGCACGGAAGCATTCATGACACCTATTCTGGGCACAACGTCCAACCCAACCGAACATCCGTTTTGGGGGGGATCAAGATCCCCTGGATACCGCAAAAAGTGGCTGTGGGTCGGAACCTGGAGCCCTAAACTAGTAGATTGACCGGGCTGGTCATCTATTCTGTTGATTGTCTATGGTCAACCGGTCGGTCCGGTCTTGACCCACAGCCGCAAATGGCACAGACCCCATCATACCCCCAATTCTTCCCCAGATAGCTATAGCTATAAGGGGGTTCCTTAATGGTTCTTACTTCTCAATGACTGGGTGCCTGTATTCCGTTGGGATTCTCAAGGTCTTGGGGTCGCCACCTTGCGCCCGTCGGGTCGCGCCCCCCCCCCCCCCGGATCCGAACCGAGTGCCCCGTGCCGGTCCGGTCCGCCGTGGGACCGACGCGGGAGAAGCGGAGGAACTACATGCTCTTCTTGACGCGATATCAGGCGGGTTCGCGGGGCGCTTGGGGCGGTTGGGGCGGTCCGGGAATCTGGGGCCGTGCAGGTCCGGACCTGTCACAGCGCGCAGGGTGCAGGGTGCAGCTAGAACAGTGCAGGGTGCAGGATGTTCGCCAGAATGTCACGGCCACCACACAATGGTCACGATGGTTCAGTGCTGAATGTCTTTACCCCAGCCAATTTTGTTGGGGGTTCCTTAGTCGAGGAACGAACTTTAATGTTGTATGGCCAAGGACGTCAGGGATTAGGATTAGTGCATGTAAGGTTTTTGGCTCCTTTGAAGGCTGGACAGCGGTGTGCTTGGCAACATGATTTCCGATGTTGACATTGACCCACTCGGGCGGACTGTGCTCTCAACTCTCAGGTCCGCTTCAGTCACAAGCAAGGCGCGCACCGTGGGCACGGGTCCGCTGCGACCCGCTTCTTTTTGGAGGTGTCTTTTTGTTTGGACTCCGCGACTGGAGAAGTGGGATTGCTTGGAAACTACAGACATTTTCGGAGATGGGGTTAAATTGGCGTGGGATTAGCCCAGACTTGTGTGATGGTCTTCCATGCCGAAAGAACCTCCGGGGTGGGATTAGATGAAAAAAGACCCAGCCTGTTGGAAGAATGCAACTCTCACAGGAATCCCCCCCAAGTTTTAAGTGCAAAGAATCACATCAAGCAGCAGGACCTTTGATGGTACTGACCCTTTTAAAGTCTCATATTCAAGTGACTGACCTCTTTGAAGTCCTGGAAGCATTTCGTGATCTCTTTGAAGTCCTGGAAGTAAACATCAGGGGGCCAAAGATTTGGGTCTGACCTCAAAGAACCCCAAAATGGGGCTTTCGGCGACGGCCTCTCCAAAAGAAGGACCTAAAACCAAGCCGGACCAGTCGAGCGGAGCCGGAGACGAGTCGCTGAGAGCGAGTCGGTGAGAAACCAAGCCGGAGGAGTCGACCGGAGAGCCGGAGACGAGGCGCTGAGAGCGAGACGGTTGGCCCAAACCTTTCCACCACTTCGGTGAGAAAAAACCCCTTTCGCCGAGCTTGCCGGTTGCACGTCGCGCGGAGGCGGAGGCGGGAGCTTCACGTCCCATTCGCGGCCCTCCGCACGGTGGGGATCGCTCGCCGTCCCAAGTGAGGCCTCCACGCGAGCTTCCACCGGCGCATGGCCTCGCAGCTCTTCGCAGGCGGACGTCCGAGGGAGTCCTGTTTTGGCAAAACGCCAGCGATCGGGGCAGATCCTAAAGATGTTGCAGTCAAGTTTGGACGAGGCCGAAAAGGCCTGGGTTCGTTCGATTGGTTGTGGCTGGGCTTTCTCTCAGCCACCCGTGGGGTGGCTGATCCAGGAGATGCTTTGGTTGTTGGGAGGTGCGATTGGTTTGCCACTGTACCAAGAGTTTCAAAGGGGTGCTATCCATGGAGGTTAGTGTTGCCGATGATCCACTCACTGGATGGGACTAAACACCACCCCTTTGTGACCTCTGGTAGAATCGCCTTCTTTGGTTTGAACTGCCTTCTTTGGATCAGTTCGAGTTTGAACTTGAACTTGTCATTCCAAGCTTCGGCAGCCAGTCATTTGCACAGTGGAAAGACTGGGTTTGGCCGAGGCGTGTAGTCCCAACCCCCTGCAATCTAGAGTTCAGAACTTGAACTAGATTCTGAACATGGAACTTGAACTGGATTCTGAACTAGATCTGCACTTGAACATATATACCCGGAAGGGTTTCATGGTTCTTCCGAGTTCTACACCTGTCGGTTGCGCCAGACCTGATGGCCCAGACCCTCCCCGACCGATCTACCGTCAAAGCAGAGAGCGTCCGTCACAAACTCTTCAGAGAGCTCGTCCCCATCCGGGCTCCTGTTCCCATCTCCTCAGCTTCGGTGCTTAGGCCGCGGCACCACCACCCACCCACCCCTGTCCCATCTTTGAAACGGCAGGCAGGGCCAGCCCTATAGGGATCAGTTGGTGACAAGACCCCACGGTTGCCTGACTTTGATCCTCACCATTCCTGAACCGCACAGCCCAAGGCCACCTACGATCGACTCAGACCGATTCGATTGCTGGATGGAATCATCCGTCCCGATGCCAATCTCCGCATCTGGAAACTGTTGACTTGTTTGACCCTGATATGTCAGGAGGTTCGGATTTTCCAGCATTTTCGGGGATTCCTCATCTCAAACCCTCCGAACTCACCTGACCACGGGTGGAGAACGTGGCTGGATCTTGGGAACAAACCGCGGCTTCGGTTTCCAGAACCAAACGAGCACCACGCCCACTGCCCGATGCGTGTTGGAGGCGTGTTGGAGGCGGATGCGACGCTCCGCGGCACTTTGGAGTTGCTGGACCCGATCCTTGGATCCGAGATAAGGACCCGGGCGGACAAGAAGTAATGTAGACTCTTGATGAATCACTTCCCCTCCATTTCAAGAGAGAAATCCTTTTTCATTTGGGGGGAGGAACTGGGGAGAGACTTCGCATCTTTCTGGGGGAGAGCTTGGGTGCGAAACATGGAACATCCATGGATGTTTCAACAGCCACTTCCCAATGTAAAGGAGCTCAAGCTGGCACCATATTGTCTTAGTAGCTGCCTGAATGTGGGTGGATCAGACAAAGAAGGTATGAAACGAAGAGGTCACTAAAGGGCCTGAATGATATTGGAACAACCAGGAAGGGGCTATTGGGCGTCGAAGCTGATCGACCGGGGCCGATGGACGGTAAGAATCAGGTGATGCTTCCAGCATGGCTGGCGCAGTCGAGCCCGGGGGTTTGGTGAGCCCGGCGGGTTTGGTGAAACCCCAGGGGTTTCGACCTATCCACAAGCAGAATCATCCTCATGCAGATGGAATACGGACCGTTGCCACAGTCTACTCCCAAAGGAGCCTCTACGGATCATCGCTTTTGCTGTTTCTGAGACTGGCTGTGTCAACGTGAAGAAGTGACCTTTTGATGACCTGGTTTGAGGTCACTTAAGCCTCCTAAGGGTCACTTAGGAACCTTCAAAAGGTCACTTTGAAGAAGCTGGTTGATCGTTTCTGACGAGCGATTTCCTGATATCACTGATCTCCCAGAACCCAGACATGACCCTGGAACCTTTTGATAGGACATTTGACTCATCTTTGGGGTGTTTTGGCACTAAAATCCAGGGCACGACATGTCGCGACCAGGTTGAGTACATGAGAGATAGTACAGCAAGCAGCATCACATACTCATAGTACACGAGACATACAGTGGTTTCGGAGTATAGATGGTTCCACCCCCAAGATGTCTTAGACAGATGGGGGTCCATCTAAACCACCAAACTTGGAGACTGTGCCATCTACTCTGACAACGTCACGACGTCTCCAAGCTCCACGACGCCCTCCTCGCACGTGCTCCTCGCAGGGATGGTGATGGTCGTGTGAGCGCTCCCGAGTTCGCTGCAGCGCTGCAGCGCAGCGCCGGTGGCGTTCTGCCGACGCAGGCCTTAGCTCTGTACCGCACGGCGGCAGAACAAGGTGGGCAGGGAGGAGACAAACTGAGGGTGGCCCAGGGTGGAGGGAAGTTCTCAACAGAATCTCGAGGTACAAGATCGAAAGAATGGAATGGTGTTTTTGTTTGCCATGGTTTTGCAAGGGCCAGGGTGGGGAAATTTGTTGGAATGTCGATGTTCTTCGCCGTAGACCTGTACCAACTCCTTCAATCCACTTTTCTTGAGGAAAGAAGCCGTGGTCAACATGACCAATGCGTTAGGGTCATCGAGTGATAGAGTCATGGTTATGGCCGCACATACATGGCCCAAGCAGATAGAGTCGAGGAGCAGTTGAATATTGAACTTTGAGTGTGAGCATCAGCTTAGAACCATTGACTGCAAATCCCTTTCAATATATACCATGACCCGACTTCACAGGTCACCACCTGCGACTTTTAAGTCTACAAAAGCCTCCAGAGGAGACCTGTAGAGTCGGGTGCTGGTACTTGTTTTTCTATTTTCACCGTTTAGAAATCCCCGTGATGCTCCATATGGGGGGATATTTATACAGATTTATACATATTTACATTGGGTTTCTTGACACACAGCAAACTGAAGAAGACCAGCGCCTTGGAGAACCCTTGTGGATCACTCTCTCAAGAACCAAGGATGACAGGTGTCCAGGTGTATTCAACGTTCGTGTCCCTGTGGTCTGAGCCACTGGGTTTTGTTTTGACAGGTGGAAACATTCGGGTGGAAGACATCCTTGGCACGCTCTCGGTGCATTTCGCGCTCACCGAGCCGCGCGCCACCACGCCGGACACGGAATTCATTCCAGGTTTGCTGGATGAAGCCTGGAAGCAAGAGACAAACGAGTAGACCACATTGGACACAGAAAAGCGTGTCGGTGCTGGCAGACTTTTCTCTTGGGGGTTTAGTCAATCACCGAGATCGTACATAGTCTCTCCATCCCATTGAGCAGTGGTTGTATGGCCATAGGATAGGAGGCAAAATAACATGGGGTCTACCCTTGCAAGTAAAAGTTGACTGTTCTGTTCAACTTTGGCGGCGCTGATCTAGACCAAACGGACCCAAACAGATGGATCCCCGGCAAGTACACCGGATATCCCAGCATTTTTCGCCTGGTACCTTTGGCGTACACCATAGTGAGCTTGGAATCTAGAAACAAGACTGGAAGCGACTCAGATCGAAATTTCAGTTTATCTCCAAGTGAGAAACCAAAACCGCCGCAAGAACAGACGGTTTTGCAGATGGGGCACCTACCACCCTACTGTGGAAAGACCTTCGGAGTAGAAAAAGCTCATCCTGAGGCCCTGTGCCGGGAGGTTCTCTCCTCTGGACATGGCGCTGGTCCTGGAATCATGTGGGGGACTCAGGGAAAAAGAATGAACAAGATATGATTTGACTGGACCTTTGCGACCGGTGCGACTGAACTCCACCATCCTTCAGACAGATAGGTGGTTTTCACTCACTCCACATAACCATGATTTCAGAAAGTGCAAGGCCCAACCTATCACTTCTTTGAGCAAGGCCCTTACTATCATCTCTTCATGGTCATGGGAGTCATGGGATCTACCCCCCCAAATGGACCCGTCTTCTTCCGCGGCCCGACTTCCGGGCCCGACCTCCTTCCGCTCGGGCTCCCGTTGCCTCCTCGCTGCGCGGCAGGCTGCGTCGGTTCTTCGAGCGGGCGGACCGGAACGCGAACGGCGTCTCGGTGCATCGTCTCGGTGACGGTCCTCGGTCCTCCAAAAGGATTGGACCCTCTGGGGGTCACGGCATCGAAGGATGAGAAGCACCAAAGAGGCGAAAGAGCTTTTGATATCGATTCGAAAGCGAATGATTCTGTGGGGGGGGGATGTTTTCAGTGAAGGAGATGCGGTCAAAGTAACCTGAATAAGGTCCTCTTGATCAAAACGTATCAAAACCCTCCAAGATAAAGAACCCAAACAGCGTCTATGGGCATTCCATTTTGTTTTTGATCCAGAGCAACATGCATTTAAGACGTGTTTTTTCCCCACCTGTCAGGTGAGGTTTGTTAGATACTATGTCAGCCCCATCTCCTTTTCCTCCTTCTTCTCCTCGTCCTTCTCCTCCTCGTCCTTCTCCTCCGCCGGACCTCAACCACGACCATCCACGCCCAGTGTTCCCTGCCGGACTTCAACCACGACCATCCACGCACAGTGTTCCCTGCCGGACCTCAACCACAAACACACAACCACAAACACACAACCACAAACACAACAACAAACACAACCACAAACACAACCACAAGCACACAACCACAGACACAACCACAAACACAACCACAAACACACAACAACAAACACACAACCACAAACACAACCACAAACACACAACAACAAGCACACAACCACAAGCACAACAACAAACACAACCACAAGCACACAACCACAAACACAACCACAAACACACAACAACAAACACACAACCACAAGCACACAACCACAAACACAACCACAAACACACAACAACAAACACACAACCACAAACACAACCACAAACACACAACAACAAGCACACAACCACAAGCACACAACCACAAACACAAAGCCACAGAGCGGTTGCAAACTGTGTCCTCATATTCGTCCTCGCTCCGATGCTCCGTTACTCCGCTCCGATCCGTAACAACAACAATAACAATAACAAGAAAAACCAGAACACGAACAAGAACAAGAACAACAACAACAAGAACAAATACAATAACAGGCGCAAGATCAACAACAAGAGCAAGAACAAGAACAATAACAACAATAACAAGCACAAGATCAACAACAATAACAAAAACAATCACAAGCGCAAGAACAATCACAAGCACAAGATCAACAACAAGAACAAGAACAGTAACAAGCACAAGGTCAACAACGAGAACAAGAACAAGAACAACACCAACAATAACAATAACAAGCACAAGCACAAGATCAACAACAAGAACAAGAACAAGAACAAACGCAAAATCAACAACAAGAACAAGAACAAGCGCAAGAACAACATTAACAACAGCAGCAACAACAACAAGAACTGATCGGTCCACATTATGTAAGGAAGATTAAGGAAGTATTTGCAGTTGCTGTAGTGATCCGATCTTCCACTCCGGTCGGTGGGCTCTCCGAGATGTCTTTTTCGTTTCGCCTGCTTTGTGAGAAACTCTCAAGGGCCACTGGGCTCCAGGGCACAGGATCTCTTGGATCCTCAAGGGAAGCTTCAGCTGCACGTCGGCTGCGTGGGACGGCGCTTTTTGTCAGATTCAGATTAGATGAACATATACGTATATATCATCATCATATAGAATCTGAAACTTCAGAATCTGCATCTGAAAGGCATACAAAGAGATAGATTGGAAAAGAAATGCTTATCCGCTATGATACATACTTACACATACGACGGTGGAACAAGACCCAGAGGGTTGTTCATTTCGATCCCATCCAAAATGGTCTAATTACGGTTCCATAGGGTTCGCGTGGGCGGAGCGCGGCTACGTGGGAATGCCACTAGATGTGGCCATGCTGGCATCTGGCACTGCTGCTTTGTGATGCTTGGGCTGAAGAGAGGGACCATGGGACATGGGATGTGAGGGCATACTGGCGTAGTGGCCATCAGCACCATGAAGAACAGATTTAACTATAGAATATTATTAGGTATTGCAAGTTTGGGTCCTATATGGTTCCCCAGGTCCTATATGGTTCCCATAACCTGGGGTACCCAAACTGCGATAGTCCAACGAATGGGTTCTTCAACCTCTGGTTCTCAGAGGGCGGCAGTGGATCCCACATGGTTTCAGAAAGTTCATCATCTTCATCCACTCAAAGGAGCGGGCGGAAGGATCGCACCATGCACCCCGCGGGTTGCACGCCCACCTGGAAAGGTGTGCAAGCACACCATTCCACACCTGTTGATGGAAGCCCGTATGTGTGAAATCCACCGCAATGAACTTATAATATTTGGATGAAATCGCGCACTGGTCCACATGGACCCCAAACTGTCCAAAGTTGGATCTCATGATGACGCACCGAGTGTGTGGCAATGCACTGGTCCTCGTCGGACTAGCTTGGACAAACAGGGCCGTAACTTGTCACGTACAAAGATACGTACCGACCCCGTACCCTTGTTTGAAACCCAAAACTTTATCGATCAATATTTTGTTGATTGAACACATACACTCCCCCAAAACAAATGGAAGTGGATGGCATGGCCCCTCAAATGATCTTAGTTGACCATCTTCCTCTACAAACAGGTGGTGAACTCCACTTCCATGATTGGATCAGGGAGCCAATTAACTCTCATTGAACCAATGCGGGAAAAACAACTATTTTTACACGATTACACCACACCAGCCGACCGTACGGACAAGTGAAAAGAGAACGGACTAGGGACTCATATATTAGGAGAAAAACAACATGGGCTTGCTGGAAGTCCGTG